CTTCTCCTCCGCGGGGAGGGACCGAAGAGGAGGGAGCGGAGAGAAAGAGAGAGAAAGAGAGAGAGAGAGACAGAGAGAGGGGGAGGGAGGGAGAGGAGGCCAGCAAACTTTTCGCCGCCACTCTGGGCCGATTCGGTGCCAGAGCCGACGCGCGACCGCGAGCGTGCCGGGCGCGCCGCCCGCAAAAAGGCCGCGGCGAGACCTGCCGCCGGGGCCGCCGGCGGGCGAGGAGCGACCCAGCAGCTGCGGGCGCGACGGGCAGCAGGAGAGGTAGGGCACGAGGATCAGAGGGAGAGAGAGAGAGAGAGAAGAAAAAAAAAAAAAAAAAAAAAGAGGGAGAGAGGGAAAGAGAGAGAGAGAGAAAGAGAGAAAGAGGGAGTCAGGGAGAGTCAGAGAGAGCAAGAGGGAGAGAGGAAGAGAGAGCCAGAGAGAGAGAGAGACAGACAGAGTGTGAGAGAAAAAGAGAGGGGGGGAAGGAGGCAGGGGGGAGGGACAGGGAGAGGGAGAGGGAAAGAGAGAGGGAGGGACGGAGAGAGAGAGAGAGAGAGAGAGAGATAGGGAGCGAGAGCGAGAGACAGACAAAACCGCAATAGGCAGCGTCTGGTCTTGCCTGTGGCATCGGGTGAGCAGCCGTTCTCCTCCCTCGTGGCCGCGGAGGGAGATGCAGGTGTGGCAAGCGTCACCGCTGGTGGTGCGCGTTGGTGGAGCCACGACTAAGATGGCCCAGTGGTCGGCATCGGGGCTGAACGGTGAAGGGTCAGGGCCCTATAGGGAATCAGGGCGTCGGGAGCGGCGCCGTGGGCTCATGCAGCGCGGCGAGTCTCGCCTGCGGCTCGGTGCTGCGCGAGCGCCCAGCTGTTCTGCGCTGGCCCGTAGAAGCGTTGGAGAGCCCTGCGGAGCTCAGTGGTGCTCGTGATGGACGCGAAGTACATCGGAGAATAGACAAGCGCGCTCCACTACTCGCAAATCAACTACTCGCACATGGCCTGGACCCTCCGCCGGGGACTTACGATCCCCGACATGGAGGCAGACATGTGCAGGCACGACGGGCGCGGCGGCCCGTGCCAGGTTCGGCCGCTATCGATCTCGGCCGCTCTTGATCCGACTCGATGTCGAGTTCTCCTGGCGATCCGATGCGGCCAGACGCCTGCACGGCGCAGGTCTGGCTCAGATCCTGGACCGGTGCTTGTGCACGGCCCGATTCGGTGCTGGGTCGGAACCCCGTCGGATGGGCTGCGGGGACAAACCGAGCAGCCGTCTGGTCTCGTTAGGCTAGGGGGCGGGGGGCAGGGTTCCTGGCCTGGGATCGCGAGGGGCTCTTTGGGGCAAGAATACAGAGAAAAATAGAGACAGAGAGAGAGAGAGAGACGAAGCGAGAGAGAGAGAGAGAGAGGGGAAGGGGGGGAGGAACAAAAAAAGAGACAGGGAGGGAGGGAGGGAGGGAGGCACGCAGAAATGCAAGACCTCATACCCGCCCCCTTTTTCGAATAGTTAACTCTTCCCTGTCGCACCACCGAACGTGTCGAAAGGGTGGGCCGGGCGTTTCGCCCGAGACTTGCTTAAACAAGTGGCACGCGTGCCCTGGCTCTTGCACAAAGGAGCTGCGAAGGACAGGAGGCTCCCGCATCCTTCCTTCAGGAGAGGCTTCCGTGCTGTAAAACACAGCGGGCAAGGCCAGGGGGGCGGCCAGGGGGGGGAGAGCGAGGGGAGATGGGGAGGGCTGGATCCAGGGCAAGGCCAGGACGACCAGGGGGGAGGACGAACGACGAACGAACGAACGACGACGGCGAAAGTAAGGAGGCCAGGGGGGGGGGAGGACGACGAACGGGAGGCCAGGGGGAGGAGAGCGAGGGGGGCTGGGTCCAGGGAGTGGGTTAGGGAGGCCAGGGGGGGAGAGCGAGGGAAGCTGGGGGAGGCTGGGTCCAGGGCAAGTCCAGGACGGCCAGGAGGGAGGACGAAAGACGAACGAAAGACGACGACGAAAATAAGGAGGCCAGGGGGGGGGGGGAGGATGACGAACGGGAGGCCAGGGGGGGGGAGAGCGAGGGGGGCTCGGTCCAGGGAGTGCGTTAGGAAGGGAGGCCGGGGGGGAGAGCGAGGGGAGCTGGGGAAGGCTGGATCCAGGGCAAGGCCAGGACGACCAGGGCCTCAAGAGACCTCCGAGAGGCGTCCCGAGAGAGCCCGAAGAGGCCCCAACACGGGCCCAGGAGGGCCCCAAGACAGCCCAAGAGGCTTCGAAGACGCCCAAGATGGCCTCCAAGACGGCCCTGGATCACCCCAAGAGGGGCCCCAAGTCGGCCCAGAGAGGCCCCCAAGACGGCTTCCGACGGCGTCAGACGGGCCAGGAGCCCACCAAAACGGCCAAAGAGGCCCCCGAGAAGCCCCCGAGCCCCAAAGAGGCCTCCAAGAGGGCCCCCAGGATGCCTCCAAGAGACTACCAGGAAGCTCCCAGGCAGCCCCAAGAGTGTCCCCAGAGGCTCCAAAGATGCCCCATCCTCCTCCTCCTCCTCCTCTTCCTCCTCCTCCTCCTCCTCCTCCTCCTCCTCCTCCTCCTCCTCCTCCTCTTCCTCCTCCTCCTCCTCCTCCTCCTCCTCCTCCTCCTCCTCCTCCTCCTCCGCCTCCGCCTCCGCCTCCGCCTCCGCCTCCTCCTCCGCCGCCTCCTGATCTTCCCCGCCATCCTCTCCCAAGTGTTTCCCGAAGGGTTTCCACAACGGCTGGGGAACACATGGTCCGATAGCTTTGCAGAGCTCTTGCAACAACGCTTGGCCACATGGGCGATTCTAGAAGGCAGGGGGCGGCGGTGATTCGCGGTAGGCGTCTTCGATTTGTTTATACACACACGCATCTACTCTCTCGTGCTGACTGTGGTCGCAGAGACCCAGCACTTGGCTGCAACCAAGAACTCGAGGACCCAGGAACCTTACCGTGCCAGAACTCCTCATTTGGAACTGGGAACCCAAAAAACCTGGCCGCCCACCGATATCAGCCTGGAACCCAGAGCCAGGAATACTGGGAACCCAGCAGCGGGAACCGAAGAACTCAGCACCGAAATCGGCCCAACATCTTCACATTGTCTCTAAGTATCCGCTAGGACCCTTCAGTGCAAGCCCTGATTGGGGAACAGTAGCTACACGGATGGAGGCGGTTCCTTTTCAAAAATGGGTTCCCGTTTCTGACGTCCTCAAGTTTTATGACCCGAAGGTAATACTTGTATGATAGCACAGATGGAGCGCACCTTATGCTTCAAATGAGGCTCTCCCTTGAACTTCGTCGAATGAAACTCTCGCGTGCACTTGTGCAACGCTGCCCCATTGAAAAGAACATCCTTTTCAAAACGGAGCGCTCGCTGGACGCATCCGTGAACATTATGACCCTACCTTTTGCGTGTCATATCAAAACTACAGCCGGACATAAGCCAGAAGAACATCTCTCAAGAACACGAGACCTTCCGCCGGCCAAGAACACACAGAACGTCCAAGGGTGCCCACCCCAGGATGCACAAGAGCGTCCAACAAACACGAAGAACATTAGGGTACCCTACCCTAACCGATCTCGATCTCGGTCCGCCGCCGAAGTTGGCTTTTGGGTCAAAACTCGGATCTCCAGCGGCCGTTCAGGACGATCCCAGCACCCCCGGAAAGCTCTCGACGAGGCGCAGCGGATAGAGAGCGTCCGAGGCCAGAGAGCCGGTGAGAACCAACGATACCCTCCGAAAGCCTCGGACCTGGAACCCAAAAACCTCAAACCTCGAACCTCTTATGCCTCGGCCGACTGTAACAGAAATGGAGGGCGGATCGATTACGCGGTGTCCCTTGAACGACCGGCGCACGGGGCGCTCGTCTGTCCAGAGGGGGCGCCTGCCCAGAGGGGGCGCCCCCCGCAGGGGAGAGGGCACCCGTGCTGCAGCATCTTGGATCCACTCTGGGCCTCGTCCTCCTTTATGGTCGTTCGTCGTAGAACGGCGCGTTCCACGACTCGCAGAGCAACTACTCGCGCATGGCCTGGATCCGCCGCGGGGGAGCTACGATGCATTACATGGAGGAAGACGTGTATTTTTCTGACGTTTGCGAGTCGGCACTTTGCGAGTAGTGTAACGCGTTCAGCGAATTCCCAACCTTCTCTGCCCCTACCCCTTATTAACCCCTTCCTTCCCGGTGGGCGGGCCCTGCCTGCCCCCTGGGAGGTGAGGGGAGAGACGGAGGAAGGGAGGAAGGGAGGCAGGGGGGGAGGGAGAGGGAGGGAGACGGAGGAGGGGAGGACCCGGGCAAGCGGCGACTACTGCCACGACGTCGACTGCACCGAGAAAGCGCCTTGATCCGCGGGACGGCAGCGGCGCTTGAGCGGCGCTTTAGCTGAGGCGGCGCGAAGGGGAACGACGAGATGCGGTCCCGCTTGCACAAGTCACCTTCCTTCGCTCTGCGCCAAGCACGAGGCGGCACGATGGCGCCTCGCTCTCGGCGCAGCGGAGCGCGTCGTGTTGACATCATGCTCGCAGAACGATGCCACCATCTTGCCATTGCGAGCGCGGTGGCACCTCGCGCTCGCGCACTGCCCCCTGGGAAGAAAACTGCTCCCCGGCCCAGACCGCGAACCCTGGCTGGCTTCGCGCCTCACGCAGGTAACTGCGGAGCACGGCCTGGACACCTCGAGAATGCGATCGCCAGGGAACGCCAAAAGGGAGAGCACCGCGTGGAGGAGGAGGACGAGGACGGGCAGGGCGAAGAGAGGGCGGGAGCGAGGAAAACAGCTGTGGTCGCCTCAGGCGCATGGGTCCGACGCAAAAAAAAACTGGCCCCTCTTCGAGGGCGCTCAGCGGGTGCGCGCGAGCAAGACACTGCTCCTCCTCCTCCTCCTCCTCCTCCTCCTCCTCCTCCTCCTCGGCCTCAGCCTGCTCCGCCTCCTCCTGCTCCTCCTCCTCCTCCTCCTCCTCCTCCTCCTCCTCCTCGGCCTCATCCTGCTCCGCCTCCTCCTCCTCCTCCTCCTCCTCGTTGCGGAACTTTCTAGCCAGACTCCTCGCGGTTGAGGGGGCCCGTCTTCGACTTCTGGCGGTTCACGGCTCTGGCCAAAGAGGCCCCATGCTCCATCACGTCGTCGGCCCGGTCTCCCCTCCTCGCGGTTGCGGCGGGGCGGGAGAAAGCCGTCCCTCCAATTCCAACCCGCCTCGGGGGAGGAAGGATGAGAAAGGTGAGGAGAGGGACGAGCCTCGTCCCTCTTCTCACCTTCCTCCTCCTTGTCCTTCCTCCTGGAGAATAGGGAAGAATGAGGGAGGGAGGCTGGAGGAGAGAGGAGGCAGCGGTGCACCGCAGAAGAACGCGCGGTTCAACAACGGACTGGGCGGCAAACCAACCCGCAGCACAGCTGCAAAGGTTGCGCCGGCGCGCGTGTGTTACAGCCACAGCCCCCCACCGCCGCATGTACGTGAGCAGGAGGGCGCCCGAGACGCTGGGCCGCCCAGCGCGCAAGGGGCCGCAGGAGCAGCAGCAGCGGCAGCAGCAGCAGCAGCAGCAGCAGCAGCAGCAGACGAGACCTCACCTCACCGCGGCCCATCGACCTGAGGACCCGAGCATGCGGCCGCCGCAGCAGTCGGGAGGGAAAAAGAGGAGCGGCGCGAGCCCCCCACGCGCAGGCAGCGGCGAGAGGCGCGCCTTCTGTGGGCAGAGCTGCGGAGCGCTGCTGGCGAAGCTGCGAGGGCAGGTGCCTTGGGCGAGGCGCCGCTGTGCGCGCGCTTTTTCCTCTGGCCCCCTCCTCCATCCTCTTCCTCCTCCCTCCTCCCCCCTCCTCCTCCTCCTCCTCCTCCTCCTCCTCCTCCCTCCTCCTCCTCCCTCCTCCTCCTCCTCCTCCTCCTCCTCCTCCTCCTCCTCCTCCTCCTCCTCCTCCTCCTCCTTGGCCCGCTTGGCGCAGTGCGCGGCAGAGCGCAGTGCGTGACGCGCTGCGCTCGGGCGACGGGGGCGGCGTGCCGAGCCCGCCCTCAGCCACAGCGCCTGGTGCCACCGGAAGGAAGGGCGTCCGCCTGCAGGGGCTGACTGCCGACGATGACGGCGCCCTCGCGTCGGTGGTGGGGATTTGGGATTCTGCTGCTCCCACCGCACTTAGGGACCACATCCCAGGGATAATTTCGAGCACCCCGGAAAGTATCGAAATGGGGTCGAACGAGTATCGCCTCCCAGGGCCCGACGCGTGAAAACCCTCAACTTTCGATATTTGCTCGGTGCTCGAAATTCGTTCTAGTGGTCAAGGCTAAAGTAGGTTGGCACATCATAAGTTTTGGAGGGGGTTCGACATGCGCGCGCGGCCGACACGCGAGAGTGGCCCGCATGGTAGCATATGACACGGATCGTGCCCCCACCCCCCAGCATGCGCGCAAGAGCGTTCGAATGATGTCGACGTGCGGCGCGAAGGGCCCGCGTGGGTACTCCGCTGGACAGCAGCGTGGCCGCGTGCGCACTTGCAGTGGGCCGGGGGCGCTGCAGATGTCAGCGGGCGCAGAAGCGCATTAAATCCGTTACCGTGCCTGCACGGAGTGTGCGTGTTAGAATGCTCGTTTGCTGTGTGATGGGGGGTATGATCCTTTCTAGGACAGACCCTCCCCTTCGTCGTACGCATCCTTCGAAAATCTGCCCTTCTGGATGTGCTCCCCAGCGCACATGTCGGCCTTCAGGAGGCCATCCTGGCCTCCAAGATTGCGTCCATGACAAGCAAGATGGCACCAAGACGGCTCAGAAAGCCCCCAAGACGTCCTCAAGACGGTTCGAGAGGCTTCCAGGTCGGCCGATGCATGTTCCAAGAGGCCCCACAGGAGAGCCCGAGGCCAGACCCATTGATATGTCCTTGGTGTCTCAATGATTGTGAGATTCTCGCTTGTCTGGATTTGCGACCGTCCAAGATGACCCAAAGGGCCCCCAATATAGCTCCAAGACAACGCAAGAGGGCCCAAAGTCGTCCCATGACGACCCCAAGATCGCCCAAAGGCCTCCTGAGGGCCCCAAGACGGCTCTCAAGCGCTCTGAGAGGGCACCAAGACGGCCCCGAGGAGCCCCCAAGACAGCCTCCGAAGGCGTCAAGCTGGCCAGGAGCCTCCCAAAACGGCCCAAAGACCCCAAGAGATCCAACCCCAACAGGCCTCAGGAGGCCCAAAACATGCCCTCAAGAGGCCCCCAGGAGGCTCCCAGGACGCCCCAGGAGGCCTCCAAGAAACGCCGAAAGCAATCCCAAGACACTCCGAGAGGCGTCCAAGGAGACCCTGGCGCACGGAGGCTCCCCGAACTCTCCAAATGTCCCCGTATAACGGAGGTTCCCCTGGGCATCGTTCCTCGATGAGCTGTTAGGGATTTTTGGTTTGCGGGCTCGCGAAGCAGGTCGAAAGCCGTACGAACACTAGTCGGGCCACGTCTAGGCAGCAAGAAAACACAGGCAAGCGAAGCGAGCGCGCGGGCAGCCACTCAGAAGAAGAGCCGGAAACGAAACTCCCAACCCAGTGGCGTGGAGAACCCGGTGGCGACCAGCAAAAAAGCGCAGCCGAAATGGCGCGGCGGCGCGACCATAAACACGCAGAGGTTAATCACTCGGCGTGAGTCGGCACAAGGCACCGTCAGAGACGAGCAGGACCGACAGGCACACCCGGACGACGTCCGTGCCGTAGGCGACACAACTAACTGCACCGTGTCAGCGCAAGAGTGAAGAGGGGCAACCTCGAGCCAGATAGGACTGCAAACGGCAGTACGTCTCGTTTGTACAGCAATGGCACATGTCGAAAGCGAAGTCCTTGCAGGAGAAAGCAGCCGACGGGCGCACCGAGCCACACATGCCGAAGTCGTCGCACCGTGGAGGTCGGCAGCGTAGCGAGACCCCACTGAACCCTTTCGGTCACCACTGGAGGCCGACACCAGCCAGGAGCAGGCCAGGGGCCACTTCACCACCCATCCCCAGTGTGATCCTTGCATGGAGTTCGTAGCGAGACCCCACTGAACCCTTCCGGTCACCAGTGGAGGCCGACACCAGCCGGGAGCAGGCCAGGGGCCACCTGACCGCCCATCCCCAGTGTGATCCTTGCATGGAATTCAGGCCATCAGAGCACCATCAGACAGCGGTATTGGCGGCAAGCCCTGCCTCGTGGGATAACCCGGCGAAACAAAGGAGAGGAGGGGAAGTACACGCCAGGCACGGTAGGCACCCTGGTGCGGCAGCTAACCGCTGCAGCATTAGCATGCAGGAAGGGAAGAAAGGAAGTGCACGCCAGGCACACGGTGTGAGAGGAGAGGAGGAGAACGGTAGAACATTTAGTCGAGCAACTCTTGCTGACTATGCCAATCGTGGCTGTGCCATTTCCAACCGCGCTGGCTGTGCCAACCATGACTGTGCCAACCCTGGCTATGCCAACCCTGACTGTGCCAACTAAGTTCCTCCCCAGCGGTGGGCCCCCCTCCCACCTGCGACTCGCGACTATATTCACACTCTACCCAGCGGAGGCGACTGACCGTCGAAGAGTCCGTTGGAATCCGAGGCGGCTGGGTGTTCCCAGGGGTCGTGTCGCCAGTGGGTTGCGCTGGACGATCGGCAAAGTCCTCTTTGTCTTCTCCCTGCCCCTTTTCCTGTGGCTCGCCACCCATTTCGCACTCTCCCCGGTGTAGGTGACTAACCACCGCACAACCCCCTGGAATCCGAGGCGGCTGGGTATTCCCAGGGGTCGTGTTGCCAGTGGGCTGTGTTGGACGGTCAGCAAGGTTTTCTCTGTCTTCTCCCAGCCCGACACCCTGCGATCGCGACTATCTTCACACTCCTCCCGGTGGAGGCGACTGACCGTCGCAGAGAATATTGAAATCCGAGGCGGCTGGGTGTTCCCAGAGGTCGTGCTGCCAGCGGGGTGTGTTGGACGGTCGGCAAGGTCCTCTCTGTCTTCTCCCTGCCCCTTTTTCCTGTTGCTCGCGAACCATTTCGCAGTCTTCCGGGTGAAGGTGAACGACCATCGCAGAAGACTGGTGGAATCCGAGGCGGATGGGTGTTCCCAGGGGTCGTGTTGCCAGCGGTTTGCGTTGGACGGTTGGCAAAGTCCTCTCTGCATCCTCCCTGCCCCTCACACAGCGACTCGCGACTATCATTGCATTCTTCCCGGTGGCGGCGACTGACCCTCGCAGAGTCCGTTGGAATCCGAGGCGGTTGGGTGAGCCAAGAGGTCGCGTTGCCACTGGGTTGTGCTGGACGGTCGGCAAGGTCCTCCTTGTCTTCTTCGTACTCCTCCTCCTCCTGCGATTCGCGACTATCTTCGCGCTCTTCCCGGTGGAGGCGACCCATTTCGCAATCCTCCCGGCGCAGGCGACTAACCGTCGCATCTCGAGGAATCATGAGCTAACCGCTGCAGCATTAGGATGCAAGAAGGGAGGGAGGGAAGTGCACGCCAGGCACACGGAGTGAGAGGAGGGGGAAGAGCTTAACACAGCCCCGTGTACACGGACGCGCACGCCAGGCGCTCTGATTCTGGTAGGGTGCTGACGGCACGCAGACGCCGTCGACACGGGGGTGGAAGTGGACGACCGCGCCTCCGACGTCAAGGGCCCGACCTCGCACGAGAACGCTCCCACCCTACAACGAACGGCCAGCGTCGGCGCCCACGAGATCCCGACCATCTCGCAAGGATGCCTGGCACTCCCTGTTCGCGCCGACGTGGTGTCCCAGGTGTTGCCCACGCAATTGCGCCCAATCGATACCCAGGCCCAATGAGTCGCTCAAGGCCCGAGCGTCGCAGCTGTGGCTGCGAAGTGAGGTCAGGAAGGCGACGCAAGTTCGCTGATCGTGCCGACGCGGGTCGAAAGCGCGCGCGCGGTGCCAGGGGCCGCGTGATGCTCGGCAAAGGCGTGCCAGACGGCTGTGAACGACGCACCCAAGGTGACCTGAAGGTACCTCCTGATCGTCTCGTTTGGTGACACTCCGTGGGGTTCCCACTGGGAGTCATGGACCCGGGCTCTTTAGAGCGGCCTTCCAGTGTGGGGGCCCCGTGGTCCTGGATGCTGGCGATCGGCGAACAGCCCGGGCATCCACCCAATTCCCGTCCGACGCGTCGAGGACGCCCCCCCGTTGGACTGCCGGCCCGTCTCGGCGGTCGAGCTCGCGCCCCCACCCGAGAGGGGGGGTCTGGCGAGCTTTGCAGGGCTGCAGGGGTTGCCCCGTGGCTGCTACTCGAAGCGCCCGTCCGCATCGAGTTGCTGGCAGGGGAAGGAGGACGAATGGCGGCGCAAGGGCTCCTCGAAACCAGCTGAAGGATGGCTTCGCTGTCCCGCTCGTCAGGGGAAAGCTGACGTGTGGGCGCAGTGGAACTTCCCAGTGCCGTCTGGAGGGTGGCTTCACTGTCGGGCAGGCCGTCGGGTTGGCCGTCGGGTTGGCCGAGGAGTTGGCCGTGGGTTTGGGCGTCGGGCACGGCCTCACGTAGAGTGTTGGGTAGAGCGTCAGGTTGGGCGTCGGGAGCGGTGCCCCCTTCCTCCTGCGACTCGCGACTATCTTCACACTCTTCCCAATGGAGGCGACTGACCGTCGAAGAGTCCGTTGGAATCCGAGGCGGCTGGGTGTTCCCAGGGGTCGTGTCGCCAGTGGGCTGTGTTGGACGGTCGGCAAGGTCCTCTCCGTCTTCTCCCTGCCCCTTCTCCTGCGGCTCGCGACCCATTTCGCACTCTTCCCGGTGTAGGTGACTAACCATCGCAGAACCCCTGGGAATCCGAGGCGGCTGGGTGTTTCCAGGGGTCGTGTTGCCAGTGGGTTGTATTGGACGGTCAGCAAAGTTCTCTCTGTCTTTTCCCTGCCCCTCACCCTGCGACTCGCGACTATCTTCACACTCTTCCCAGTGGAAGCGACTGACCATCGCAGAGGCTGTTGGAATCCGAGGCGGCTGGGAATTCATAGAGGTCGTGTTGCCAGTGCGTTGTGTTGGCCGGTCGGCAAGGTCCTCTCTGTCTTCGCCCTGCCCCTTCCCCTGCGGTAGCGCGTGACCACGAAGATGAGGGTGAACAGGAGGGGGTCCACGACCAGAGAGCAACCCTGGAAGTAGGCGTATTCAGTTGGGCTCGCCGTGCGGCAGCGGCGGTACCCCACGGCAAGGCAGAAGGTGCCGGACGAAGCGCGGTCGCCGACGCACCAGCGGTGGCACAGGCAATCATGGGAGCAGTCAATATTAAAGAGAGACTGGGTGCATCTGGCCCGAACCCCGAGTGGCCGGTTCTATGACAGGTGCGACCAGGAGGCGGAGCTTCGGAGGACAGGCACCCTGGCGACCGCGCGGCATCCCCTTCTCGGAAATCGGGTCCACACTGAAAGGATGAGGGAGGCGAGAGGGAGGGAGGAGAAGACGAAGTGAGAGAGGGAGGGAGGAAGGGAGGGAGGGAGGAAGTGAGTGGCAGGCATGGCCTGCGCATGTGACGAGTACCCCGACATGGGAAAACACAGTGCGAGGCGAGCGCTGGAGTGCACGGGACCGTTCCAAGAAGTGTCCTTCCTCTCCTCTCGTTCCTCTTCTTCCTCCTGCCCCTCCTGTTGTCCGCCTCCTCCTCTTCTTCTCCTTCTTCCTCCTCCTCCGTGCGCAGGGAGGGGGCGAGGCCCAGAGCATCGAGGCGGGAAAGGGGGCTCCCTCTCCTACCGCCCCTCGTGAACGAGGGAAGCGCCGTGCGCACAAAAGCAGGGGAGATGGGCAAGAGCGTGGCCCCGTCGCACTTCGCGCACGCGCGCGCGAACGCCCGCGCGCCCGCACGCCGCCGGCCCCGCCCTGCAGCAGCGGCTGGCCGTATCGATACGCGGGCGAGATGCGCAGAGACGGACCGCGGCCGCACGCGCGAGCCAGCGCGCTCGAGTCGAAGGCCGCGGAGCCCGCTGTCAGAAGCAAGCCCGCCCCCGCCGTCGCGACTGCACGCCGACACGCCCTCGCGGCCCCGCACGCCCGCGCGCCCGCGCGCCGAGGCGCCCGTGCCGGCAGCTGGAGAAGCGTCGAACCCATCAGTGCCCGCGCCCTGGCGCTCCGGACTCCAGGGCGCGGCCCCCGCGGGTGCGCGGCCGCGCGGAGGCGTTCCGCGCGGGGCAGCCGCGAACAAAGCGCCCCGTGTCCGCGGGGTCGCGGCCCAGGCGGGCCGGCCCGCGGGGCCGCGGACACGGAGGTTTTGTGCGCCCACGGATCAGCAAGAGGAGCGGCAAAGGCATCAGCGCAAACTCTCGGAAGGCCCCCTTGGCGGGCGCCTCCGCGCGGACCTCCGGCAGTTTGTGCTCATGCTGCTTGTCTTGCTTCGGGTAGAGGCGAGCAGACGGGCGACGCGCAGCCGGAGAGGGGCAGATGGGCGGGGGGCTTCTCGCGGAGGCATTCTGCACACCCGCATCCCACGGGTCGACATATCCTGGACCCTCCAGGGTGTGGTGGTGGTGGTGGTGGTGGTGGTGGTGGTGGTGGTGGTGGTGGTGGTGGTGGTGGTGGTGGTGGTGGTGGTGGTGGTGGTGGTGGTGGTGGTGGTGGTGGTGGTGGTGGTGGTGGTGGTGGTGGTGGTGGTGGTGGTGGTGGTGGTGGTGGTGGTGGTGGTGGTGGTGGTGGTGGTGGTGGTGGTGGTGGTGGTGGTGGTGGTGGTGGTGGTGGTGGTGGTGGTGGTGTGCCTCCTGCTCCCTGTGCCAATCCAGGGCCAAGATGGGCATGGCCAGGCTCGATTGGCTTCTGGGTTCCGATCCGATGGAAATCCCCCCGCGGCCCCCTCCGAAGGCTCCTGGAGGAGCCGAGGCTGGCCGCCCGCATCGTGCTGGAGGCAGTGCTGGCAAGCCACTGTGGCGACACTGGATGGCTGGAAGCTCCCGTCCTCGTCGGGTCGCCGGCCTCGGCTTCCTCCGCCGGGTCGCGGTGCGCGCGCGCGCGGGGCGCAGGCAGGCAGGCAGACACCGCCCGGAAGCGGCAGGGAGGGGGGGGAGGGGCAGCAGCTGGGCAACCACACACGGACCCTACCCCGGCAGGTCAAAGTTCGGAAAAACCGGACGGGGCTCAGAATTCGAAGGACGTCTGCAGCCCAAGTGAACCCCTGCGGGGGTGCACGATACCCCAGCGTCGATTGGACCTGCAGGAGCAGGGTTCGCAAGTGGTTGCAGAGCACTGCATAAACATAATTAAACGTTCGAAGGTCCGCGCGGAATCTTTGGATTGGCAATGGGACCCCTGCTGGCGCCGCCCCTTTCGCGCTCCGCGCGCCAGGAAAGAAGGTCCAGCGCAGATCCAAGATATCTGCGCGGACCGTCAAGAGTGTACGTTCATGCCGCTTTCTCATCTTCCAGAGCAGCAGCAGCAGCAGCAGCAGCAGCAGGACGGGGAGGACAACGAGAGAAGGCGGGGTCTGCTCCCTCCTCCCCCCCGGCTCCTGGAATAGGGGGCCCACAGAGGACGTGCGCGCCCAGTCACATACACGCATGCGGCCCCACCGTCCGCGAGGCCAGCCTCGTGTCACGAGCGTTCGCGCAACGCGCGCTTTCGAAACCAAGCGTGGACTCGTGTACATGGACGTCCTTCTATCGCTCCTGATGAGGATCGTCTAACCGATCCCCATCCCCAGCGGCGTGGCCTGGACCCCACTGGCCGATTTACCCCCCTAGATGGGGATATAGGCCGTTCCCGTCGGGTTTCGAGGGGTGTATCCCCAACTGGGGTGGTAATTTGGTGGGGGTCTCGAAGGGGATGGGGATGGGGATCGCTTAATCTATACCGACCTGATGGAACTATCGGGGATCTACTGACCCCGGGCCAATGCAAACCAAGGTCAGTCAGGCTTTGCGGGATCCTGCAAGATCCTGCAGGATCCTGCAAGATCCTGCGCGCAAACCCGGTCCACGCAACCCTGGCATTGCAGGGTCCTGCAAGATCGGGCGCTCTGGCTGACCCCCGTTTGCATTGATCCACGTCTCAAGGCTCCTGACTAGAGGCCTCCTAGATGAGGTCGGAGTAGATGGGATCGGAGGATCGGGCCGAATCGTCGATGCATCGGCGATGCATCTGCGATGCAGCGGCGACGTCGGCGTGAAGCAAATCGGGCTCCACATCTAGCCGCATCGGCGATGCATCGGCGATGCGGCGCGATCCTCCGACCCCATCTACTCCGACCCCATCTGGGAGGGAGGCCGAGAATTGGATCGACGGCGAGCCCGGGGGAAGTGAGAAGGGGCGGGCCTTCTCGGAAGGCTCGGAAGTCTCCCAGCCTTCTGAGAAAAGGCCTCTGAGCCTTGAAGCCCTCCCCGAAGACACGGAACACCTCTCGGAAAGCCAGAGGCCGCCTGAGAAGCCCCGCCGCCTTCCGAGAAGGCCTTCTCCCTCTCGCTTCCCCCCCTCGCTCGCCCCCGAAGCTCGGGCGCTCCGGCTGACCCCCGTGCGCACGGCGCCCTCGGGGAGCACGCGGGGCGCGCTCCTGGGGGGAGCCTCCGAGCCCAGGGGCCGCTCGAGGGCCCCCCGCATACGACGAGGGGACAAGGCCGAGACAACATCGGACCAGTACAAATCGGAAACCTCTGAGATCCGGCGGCTCTGGAGGACGTCTCGGGCGCCGCGGCCTTCTCAGAGCGTTCCGGAACGCTCCGA